CAATTAAATTAAAATTTACTCCTTCAAATGCATTAACCTATTAACGTCAGGGGGATTCATTCATTTTACCATAGCTTAACAAAAAAAAAAAAAAAAATGAATAGGCCTAGAGTTTTGTTTTTCTTTCTTTTCTTCTTTTTGTAGAGTTTTAACTACTAAGATATGCCAACAGTACATTAAAATCAACATGCCATTGACAATTTGTATACATTATTACACGGGAGAAACTTTGACATTAATATATGCAACTATACCTAGGTTATTCTGTATTTGAAATTAATATGAAGTTAATGATGTGGTGAGGCAATCTTATTAAAGGACAGTGCACGCATGCCGAGACCACGAAGACAGTGTACCGCTGTATTTATAATATAAAACTGCTTTAGTATATCATGATGGGTCGATGTGTGTGTCACCATTTATGTATTTATGTATGTGTGCTAAGGGTGAAATTATGTAGAGCAGACTAGTTAAAAAGAGGATGAATATGCATACTCTACATACGAATTGATGTATTATGTATTTAATTTCATAAAGTCTTCGTCTGAAAGAGCAATTTGACATCACTAAAATTCGGGCGAAATATGTATTTATAAATAAAAGCCCAGTAAAAATATACATAAATCTATATAGTTTGTGAAAAATAGAGAGATAGGCCTATATAGATGAACAAAGATGGGCGGTTATTATGAATCCACGCGTCTGTTCATCAAGCCAATTGCAAAGTTATTACAGCTTCTCCGGCTAATCCACGTTTTATTCGCGATCGATTATCCTAATGGCGCTGGTTCTTTCTCTTATAAGGGGCTACGGATGTGTGTGTTATTTATCACTATTCTGTCACTTCTTGAACAAAACACTATTGAGATAACCAGTCTAGAACATAAACGATACTCGTCTATTTTCTTGTTGTCTTTGTTGATGGTGAATTAACTCTAGTCATCCATTTTCCATTTTGTTCTAAATCCCACCTGTGCCATAATAATATTATCATTGTTAATTTACTGAGCGTAGTGGATATATCGTGTGTTGGGAATAGACCATGTATTCGTTGATATTGTTGTGGACGCATTATTATACAATACCTCATACTGTATTATGCAAATTTATTGGTTGGAGAACGAAATTCACGATCTGTAAAAATTATGCAATGCCTTTAATATACATCTTATCTAACGATTGTATAATAACCGGTTCAAACTTTAATATAGGGCTAATATATATGTCGGGTCTTAAATATACAGAAGCGTAATGCTCCAAGGGTAGGCCTAACACTACAGCAATTAAAAACATAGTAAATGAAACATATTATGAATTGATGAGAAATATTCATAATCAGAAGAAAGAAATTCCATATGAGTAAAGTAGGGCAGATTTTCAATTTATGTTGCAATATAATATGTAATAAAACATAATAGGCCTATGCCTAATAGCGCAAAAATAAGTAATAAAAAATCCTAATCTTCGTTATATTTATATATAGTTAGTTTTTAAGAATATCGTTACGAGTAAATGCTATTCGAATGATATTTTTCACAGCTTTTATGAAGTTCAAGCGTCCATGACATTTTATTGTGAAATTATTGACAACGATTGCAGTTCTTAACGACCATTATAATTCTTCTAGTACATGCAGAATTTGTTAGAATCAGTGTTTTGGTGATTATCAAGTACTGCTTTCTAATTACGGTAATTATTATTGCGAGTAAACACTCGGTGTGTCCCCGACACTTTGAATGTGTAGCGTTACGTCGTCACAGCCTCAACTGTTGAATGACAGACCAATGCTCTTGTCACATCCACGGTATGCGGCGTCTTAACAGCCTCCAAATTAGCCCTCTAACTAAGCCCATGGATTAAGGAGCTTTCAGTCGGAAGTCCCCACTTTAGGCCGAGCAGATCCCGTTTCTGATGGGACGGTGGATGCATCTGTCTTATGTTCATAACGAGCTAAGCGATATTTGCAGGCGATTAGTGGATGTCAGTGTTAAAAGGAGGTGCGAAACAAACGATTGGAATTCAACTTCACCTTTTGTATTAAAACTGAAACAAATTACATACAAGTACAAGGCTTTCCTCTCTCGAATCATGTAAATGAAAAGTTATGTTCCAATGAAATACTTGTACTAAGTAACATTATTAAAACAAATACTACAGAAGTACAAGAAGTGTAACTAGAGTTAAGGAGAGTTGCAATTGGAAAAAAGTCCCACTACTTTATTGGCATCTAAGTTCTAGCGCCCACCATATTCAGAATCAGAGTACTGTTGATTGCGGTCATTTAAGGACGGTAATATTATTGTTTCAATAGAAACCCAAATTTAATGACTGAATGATTATATTCATAGCAGCTATTGAAGCCATGTAACTATAGCGGGTTGTCGACTTAGATATTAAGAAGAATGTGTCAAAAGAGATTTTCATTTATATAGGCTAAATAGGCCTATTGAACACCATTTCGGAAAAGTCATGGTTTTTAGATGATATAGGCCTACCCCGGGAACCGGCCTAATTTAGCCTTATTGACCATGCTGCGTACCGTCTGCAAACCGTCTGTCATAAATGAATTGTCCATTCGAACGGCCAATAGGCTTCATAACTGTCCGTATTTACAGCTCCGATCGATTTCTACAAAATCAAAAGGTGTTTTTAAATCGTCCTTACGCAAGAAAATTCTCTTAGTGTTAATCCTGTCTGGAATGTAGAAATAAATTTTGAAGTAAAAATTGCCCCATCCAATTAAGCCTTATACACAGGCCTATTTGACAAGTAAGCAAAGGATGTCATAATGATATTTAATTAATAGTATCAAGATAATTAAATAATTCATTCATTCATAATAATAATAATTAATCTATCGCCATGTCTATTGAACCAAACTTGTGGTAGTTTCGAAAAACAAGTCCATTAACAATAGACATTCAATATGTTATGTATGTCAACAATCGAAACATTAATCTTTGGTAAAAACATGTGAATCCTAATATTTCGCAAGGTTTGTAACGCAGATCATGGGTGAATGTATACGTAAATTAATTTTACCTAAATTTCCACTACGTAACTAAGCTACTATTTTCACGAACAGTGCCCTCTGTTTGTTAACTTTATAATAACAGATCTGTTGTCCACAATGCGCCGTAGCCAGCTATTAGGACAATTGGGACGGTTCCACACATTTTTTCTAATAGGTCCACAATGAATGGGTCTACATTTATAAAAATGGGTCCAAATTATGCAATCTTACGCATAAAATGAGTCCACCTTTTGAAAAATGGGTCCAGATTTCTTATATTTAGCCTAAAATGGGTTTTAAAAAATGGGTCCAGAATCTTCATATGTTTGCTTTAAATGGGTTAACTTTTAAGAAAATGGGTCCACATTATTTGAATTTATGTGTAAAATGGGTCCACGCTAATATTGTCCCGCACTGTTTGAAAATCCTGGATACGGCAGTGGTTGTCCAGACACGACAACGCTGTAAATAGAATCAAAATCCATGGCGATGAGGCTCAGATTTTTGTTGTTGGAATATTCTTGTCTTCGTATAGATAATTTTTACAAGATTGCGTTTTTAGAATCAATTCTTCTGCTCATTGATTTGGGCTATTCAATACTGACGACTTGTTGTTTGGAAAATGTTTTTGTCAATGGGTTTGCCATGTAACGTTCGGATTAGCATTGTTTATCTGTTATGTCCAAAGAATGCAGGACAAATCCGCCGTTCGATGATGACAAAGAATAAATAAAGTCTCAGGCGCAATCCCCAATCACTGTAATCATGCTTTAATTCAGCTAAAATAACCCATTGTTGCACCGAGTTCGATACAAGTTGTTTACCTCAAGTCTGCTTGTGATACCTATGTATATTACTGTACAACATCCTTTAATATCGACGCACATACCAGTAAATATCTTGGAAGAATGTAACTTTTTGGGTCTTCCACAATGCATTGTTGACGAACTTACCCCAAACGAATACTGTATTCTTCCGGCAAACTAACTGAGTAAATATATATATGAAATAGGACTCATACGACTCCTTATGGATTTGAGTGGCTTATGGATTCGAGCGGTCTCTTTTGATATTCGGACAACTTGATGGCCGGTAGGCGTTTAGTGTGAAATTAGTAGGCCTACATACAAATCAGCAAGGATAAATAAAAGAATATGCCTCGAGCCTAAAATGATCAACAAACCATTATATTGAAAATAAAAACTCAATTGTGAAAGAGCTTAAGCATATCACGCGCATCAACGTGTGTACTTACAGAAGCGAGTCTGCGTTCGTGCTTAAAACAATACAGACTGTATTTTTTTTGCAGACTTGGTTCTGATTGTTTCGTCCAACAAAATCAGTATTTATAGGTCATAATAGTGAATAGAGGTTGCCTCTTTTGTTTTTTGTTTTTAATGTTAAATAAAATAACGGTTTATTAATTTTAAGGGAAAGATGAATCGAATCAAGGAGAGAAAGAGGGATGGCTACTCCCTCTCAACAGTCTATTAATTGTTGCTAACAAAATATTTATATTCAACTACTCTTATTCTAGTTAAGATTGATTGAAACTTTGTTTAAAATATAAGCCTATAAAAACTTATGAATAAAAGGTTAACATTTTCATTTCGTTGTCAAGGAATTTCCAATTTAGGGCCTAACGGTTTTGTTTTGCATTTATTGTATGACGTAACTTAACGAATTATTCACCAATAGCTCCTAAACACTGGATTATTCAACGCTAGTGAATAATGTTACAAATATTTTAATTCAATTTATTGTTCCAAATTACCTAACATTCATGCGAAAATGGCTATTTTATTTCAATCTGTGTATGTTCAGTACCGTATTATATTTCTCATTTCTTTCATTCATCAATTAGGGGATTAGGTTAGAAGAATAATACGTTTCTCCGCCACAGTTCAAATAAGGCAAGTTGATATTTTAATACAACGATTAGTTGATTTCAATAATATTATAAACAATTTATATTTCTGTCTTGCAGGCATCGCACGACGATACTTCCCAGCACATTTACGGCGATCATCATTCTGTTATTAAGCGAGGTAGGGTTTCGATCAATTACTCTACTTATAATACTATAATATAATATAATAATAATAATAATAATAATAATAATAATAATAATACTAATAATAATAATAGTAATAATAATAATAATAATAATAATAATAATAATAATAATAATAATAATAATAATAATAATAATAAGTATAATAATTATGACCTAACATTTACAGAAATTACGGGCTTCACGAAACCTTCATAAAACAAAAATACAGTCACACACTCACATAGGCCTACATGCTTTAATCGGATTCGAATTCCCAACAAAGCCTCAACGACCTAGTTGGTTAAGGCGTCTGTATAGACAGCAGAAAGGCCCAGGTTCGAATCCCGATTAGGAAAGTTTCTTTTTCACAATCGTATGGTTCGGATACTCTACCAACTGTCCTATGGGCCAAGTGTTATACACCCTTGGATTTTTCAAGTTTCTTAACGTATTTCGTAATACACAATGAATATTATATAACACATGTGATAGTTATTTTGGTGATAATGCTAAAATAAATGTAAATGTAAGCAACACGTCCATATCTGTGCGTGCAATATCAAAACGCATCAAGCAATGGAATTAGATGGTGTCAACACAACAACACAATTGCCTTGTAATAATTGCCTTATTCAGTTATTCTGCATAATAAGTACGCAGATAATAACCAAATAACACATTGAAGCCAAAAAAATAATTGTAGGGTAACAGAATTCAAAAACTGGATGAAAACATTTGTTTACGAAAAACCCATACTGCCACAACCCAAAGCAGCCTTGACTACGCAGCGTGAATCGCGGTAACTATGAAGCCATTTTGTTTTGTCGAGTATTTACCAGTTTTATATTCGATTGGTAGTCTTTGTTAAGTAGCCTCAGGATTTTACCAATGCGCAGATGGGCGTGGTTTAACGGAGAAAGACCAGTCGAATACGGTCATTATTATTATTATTATTATTATTATTATTATTATTATTATTTTATTATTATTTGTTGAAATTTTTATAGTGCTTTTGTTGTGAGAAAAAACTACTCGGATCTCATCGAAGTATATAATTAATCATCGTTCGGTTACGTGAATAAATCGATCCGACAAAAGTAATTGCCTCAAGTTTGATGCACTCTACTTTATCTTCTAAGTAACTCTTGATTACGATTAATATATAAGCATTATTAAAAATCATTTTAATGTGATTAAATTTTCATGAATTATATATAAACCTAATATTATAATGCAATATATTTCAATAATAATGTTTGGCATAATTAGCTTTAATATTTTTTTTTCATTTTGAAGTTTATAAAATACAAGTCTCTGTGCATTTAAATTTTTTTTCTTATTACGCTTTTTTTTTAAATACAATTTATAGTTATCATTTTATCATTTATTACACTAATATACAATAATAACTTAATGGTAAAACAGTGGTAGGGCTGGCTTTTAAATTTGAAGATTCTGGGTTCTAACTCTACAAAAGCTAGTATGAAGACGTCACATAAGATTAAGAAGTTGTTATTGAAGCATCTATTTATAACAGCTTGATTTCAATTCCGTAATTGACGAGCAAATGAAATAAATGATAATAAAAAAGAGTACTTTACACTTGTATGACTGAATATTTAGAATTCACTGCACTCTTAGAAACAACAAACCTGGCACTCACTTCCGTGGTTTGTACGAAATTATAGATTTAATCCTAAATTGACCGAAACTAACCTCACTACATGAATAGATTAATTATATTCGTCAGAGCGCGTCCTTTAACTGTAGCCGGTTTCATTCATAACGGTCTTTTATACAAGTGTTATCCTATAAATACAGTGTAGAGAAACATAATAGAAAATATCGAAAGTACGTTAAATGCTCAATTCGCTGGAAACGAAGGCGAGTACAATCTCTTTGATCGTTGTAAAAGTGAGAAGTAGGCCTAGATTTTCAGCCAGGCACAGACTCTTTGATTGTTGTTGAGGAAGATCAAACAAAACAGATTTTGTTTGGTTTGATTAAAATCTCGAATAAAAACCAAATAATAATAATAACGATAAGAAGGTTAATTTTTGACGATAATCGCCAGTACTATTCGATGAAAAGGGGTTTTGGGTTTGGAAGATTATCCACTCACATCTTTGAGAAATATAGATGAAGTTAAAATGAATTGATTTGACTTGTTTTACAAGGAGTTTATTATTACTTAAAAGAAACAATGACAAAGCATAGATGAAGTTTAAAGCTTAGAAAAGGCATGGTATGGCATAGTAGTTTTTCTAATTGCTATTTTTTAGTTTTTGAGTAGGCACTATCGTTGGTGGGGCTAATTTGATTAATCGAATATTATTGTTTTGTAGGCCTATAACTAGGAATAATGTCGTGTTTTAATATTCCAAAAAAAGCCATTCCAAACAATTATATACAAAACTTGTCTGCTTATGATTTTTTTTTTTATGATTTGAATTACTCAGTCTTAATTAACTTTGACTTGAGACAGATTTAATATCTCTCAGAATGCAAATTAAATTTACTACAAGAGATTTATGTCGTGTTGAACACTCCTAATATAGGAATCTTTCATAATTACATTAATTAATCATGATCAATTTACCGATTATTGGCCAATCCCCTAAAGTCATTACACACTTGTTATGTGTCTACTGATAATGTCAGCGTTTATGACGTTAACATTGCTATTATTACGTCACAGCTTTGTGTTGAAAAATTAGCATATCGTGTGTTTACGTCATCAGACACGGCGTTGGATGACCAGTATTATTGGCAGGTTTGTGGATAAGGAATTTAAATACAGAAATTTAAGAGAATTATAGAGAGTATGTATAGGCCTATATTAATACCTCATGGAAAAACTATTTAATTATGGCCTATACATTTTAAAACAGTTACGATACTCTGGTATGGGCGTAAATTGGGGTTTCAAAACTATCCATTGCAACCATCTACATAAAGAGAAACTTGGCTTCACAATTTTATTAAACTACGTAAGCAAAAGGATTAATTTTATTATAAGAAAAACAGAAAAAAAATGCGAGTCAAACAAACTAAGCAGCAAAATACACAACGATGAAACAAAGCATCTGAGAAGTACATCCAATCTGACTTTGGTAATTAATTTAATTTTCCAATAGATTGTACTGTGATTGATAGATCTAGTTTAAACATCGGCTAGGACATATGCTTAGGAATTGGACCGTGTGATATGTCGATGAATAGGTCTGGGGTGTTTGACCTGGCATTTGATATACTTCTCCACCTTACCGCGATTCATTTTAATTAAACAGTATACTTCTTAGCGTATTTTACAATACACCGTTCGTTTGAAACTCTCGATACCGTGAAATCCACCGACAATAGTTTCACACCATTACAAAAGCCAACGATAGGTAATGACCATTGGTTGTGCACACGAGAAATGCACACTTAAAAAAACACAAGAATAGAATTTCACAGTTTATATGTGAGACGTGAAATTGCCACACCACTGTGAGGAGCGCAGTGTGTTGCATGCGACAACTGGATGTAGAAGTTGTACTGTACTTTGATCCAATGATTTCCCCGAAGTGAGAGGCCAGATTAACCTCTCTGTTATATATCGGAATAGGGCTACAATTAATCGTAATAATTGTTCACTAATGAATAAGTATATATTATATGTACTCAATTAAGCAGACTGTAATCTTTTTGTAAGACTATCTTTAAGATTCATATGAAAAATGCATTAGGCCTAAGCATAGGCCTATTACTGTTAAGATAATTTGATAATTCTTATTTTATTTATTATTTGATTAAATCCCAGATTTTCTATGTAAAATGCAAAAGTACTTTATTTTCAAATCTTATGTTTTCTTTAAGTATTAACTCATCATTTAACAATGGATCTGAGTACCGACATTGGTGATCAGTACTCTTAATTTGTTTCATTAATATGCATTTTGTGGCACGTGCCACCAACCGGTCACAGATCGAAGGACGCCGCAAATCGAATGTCAAGGTCAAATACATGTTTTCGTTCTTCCCTTGTCGTTTTATATTTTTTACAGTATTTATATAGAAAATATATTTAAAGTTAAATATAATTATTTCTAAATAACAATATTATTCTTTTTATATTATATTATCATCTTTTTGACCATCCAACATTCATTGTGTGCTGGCATTGTTTTTGAATTAACTAATATATTACGCATAGTATCTTATTACGTCAGTATGCACAGTTTATGTCAAATGTTGACAGAAACTATAGGAGCAGTCGAAATATTCGTTGGAAGGAATAACATTTTGTTGAATACTTTCTGATTTGACACTGCCTTCATTGACTCGATTGTACGACATAAGGCATGTTTTTAAATTTATACAATACAATCAAATATTTATATTTTTATTTGTTTATTTTAATGCGGATGAGAAATACCAGTACACTCTAAATGTTATGTTTATCACTTTCCCTAAAACCAAATTCACTCCAACTTGTAATAGGATGTATTTTGTAAAGCATCATTAGTCCATAGACTGTCGGCGTTGTGATCAGTTGCTTAGAATAATGGAACACCCCGGAGGAACCATTAGTAACAGCACCATTTGATTCCGCTTTCGGCCAAACAGAGAATTAATCTCGTCCAATTTGCATGGTAATGTCAGAAAATCAAACCGGTTCTGACAAATAGATCAAAAGTACAATAACTCTTATTATAACGACATTGATATTAGCTGGAAGGGCAACAGCATTGTATGTGTTGTGTTTTTTTTTTTTTTTTTTTTTTGCTCTGTTTATGTTACTTTATGTTCTTGCGTAAGATTGTGAAGCGGAATATGAATTGTTCTACGGCATAATTAAGTCCCTCTGCACTATAGTATGTTATTTCAGCTCGTTAGAGTGTTAATTAGTTTGAACTTCAAGTCGTCATCATTACCGCTTTACGTATTGCTACTCCCTTTGATTCCCCAAACGTTTTGATAGGCTAAAGTATATAGGCTTTTATTTTC